TACAGGCCTGTGTGCAGACCTTGCTCAGCTTTCAGGTGCAAATATTTTGGAAGGTGTGATCTTCATGACACTATAAATATATATACCTTTTCTTTTTGCATTCTCGAGTGAATAGTATGGCATGTTGTAACTATGATTTCATGACCTTCTAGGAGATCACAATTTAAAGCTTCTGCGCCAGGAATGCTACATAAGTCATCAGAAGAAGGTACCTTATGAGTTTGACAATTGTTTGTAGCAACACATCTTTTTACCCAATAAGTGGTCATGTAGACACTTTATTTCTTGCAGTTCATCAATCATCTGGTCAATCAACTTGCTGCTGATCTGTTTCTGAAGATAACCTGCCAGCTTGAAGAACAGATAAAAATATCGAGTGCCTACTCATTTCTTAAAGCTGTAGAATTGGAATTGCAGGGCTACTTCTCAGCTGTTGATGGCCGCCTGGTATTGTTGCTGAGTTTTATCCATTAATTTCAGCATATTATTTAGCTTATCATTTTTCACTTGTGTTCTTACAAAATAGAGTATCTACATCATGGATATATAGGGCCGGTATCATTTAATTGATCAAGCAGCATCTGAAATGTTTGAAGAGGGATCAGTTGACGACAGCGATTCTTATCTTCATGCTGTGAGGGATATCCTTAGCAGTCACTCAAGTAAGCTGGCTCTGCTTACAATTCATATATCCACCACTAGTTGGGATGTTTTTTTTTAACTATTAAGCTGGAATAATCCATTCATCTTTTAATTTTTTTGTAGGTTCCCAAGCAATGTCACCAGAATATGTTTCATCATATGGTTTGATCGAGCAGATAACAGAGCTGCAAGATGAGCTCCAGTACCTTCAGCATGAGGCTGAAAATGTTCTTCCACGTGAGCGAGGAAGATGCACTGATGAACTGTGAGTTGTCCTAGCTCATTGTGCCTTGCGATTCCCCCCAGTATCAAGACAACAAATGTGTCACAGCTGAACTTGACATTAACAAACCCCTACTGCTCGAATAATATGTTAGCCCCTTGGTCTGATCATCCCATACATTTTTACCTCTGGCAGATGCAGGATTATCCAAACACTGGAGCAAATTCTTGCTGTGCCCCTTTCTGATGAGCAACCAAAGCTTACACCATGGGTACGTTGCTCTCATCCCTCGGTCCTCTTTTTATTTCATATATGCTGTCACGAGTGGACTTCACCATTTTTTTTCTACTGCAGCCACTGGCGCAATCACTTGAAGACCTTGAAATGGTCAGCCAGCGAGTCTCTGCTTCCGTTAGTGAAGTGACACTAGCTCGAGACGAAAAGGCCGAGGTACTCTTTAACATTTGGGCATTTGACTTTTGCACTCTTTGTTACGTACAATCTTGGGTTCAGAACACTTCACGTCTTTCCCTGAGTTCGCTTAAAGTTGCTAGCTATATTTACGAATGTTCTGCAGATGTTGAAACAGCCTTCACGCAACGCGCAGCAGGAAAGGCAGGTGTTCTCAGATTTCTTCTGCCAGCCAAAACGACTCGTGAATCGAGTGGAAGAGCTGCTTTCCCGCTTTAGAGCTCTACCTGAGTAGTGTCCATTTCATTTGCCAAGATGGGTGGAGGAACCCTTGGTCCTCTGATTTTCAAACTGGCACCGTATCTCATTGCCTATTCATTTGTTTTTCTCGGATTTGGGCGATTGGAAGTGCAGTCGTGCAATGGTATATCCTCGCTCATCAGGCTTTTGCGTCTATTCAAAAGCATGCGGCACAGTTCTACTGAGATAAGACATTGTTTATGGTCTGCCCGGCCCGGCCCATTCCATATGGCAAATTAAGTTTGCACAATTATGTTGTTTTTCCTCCTCTGTAAAAAAAATATAAATCTCGTTTTTGAGTAGCCAACTAATCTTAAATTTGTCTATATTTATAGAAAATAGTATCAATATCTGTATATCCAAATAGGTTTGTTATGAAATATATTTTATGATTAATTAATCTAATGATACTTGCATATCATAAATGTTAGTTTTTGTATACATATTTGGTCGATTTACTCCTAAAAGGTGAGATTTATGTTGTTTTTTGGAATGGAGGGAGCACCACTACTACTTTATGCTTAGGGCGTCCTCAACGCCGGCCTAAAGTCGACAGGCGAGGAGCTGAACCGAAACAATAAACAGATATTTAGGCCCCGTTTGGTAGCGCTCCCGGACCGGCTCCGGGAGCTGTTTCGTGACTCCTCCAACCAAATGGGTACCAAGAGAATAGCTTTCTTGGAGAAGTTCCGTGATTTGCTCTGAGAGGGAGTGAAGTTGAGAGATGGAGCCGAAAAACTAGCTTCCCTCGGCTCCTGCTCAAATGCGCAGGCCCTGGGCGAGTTTGCCCCTCAGCGTGCGCGGAGAAGACGGGGCATTGTCGCCGGTGCAGTCACCGGCCATCGAGAAGGATCCGCCGGGCCGGGCTGTGCGGGCACGGTTGTCCGGGGGCGCGCGGCTGTCTGAAGGCACGCCGGCCATGCGCTCGCTTGGGTGTCAGAGCGACGACGAGGTGGAGGCGTGGAGCACGACCGCGCGGCGAGGAGGAAAGGGGCGCGGTGGCCGGCGCAACCGGGGGAGGAGGAAGGGGCGCCGGCAGAGACTAGCTGAGCCGCGGCGCACTTCCTAGCCGCGGCGATTGAGATTGGGAAGGAGAGTGCGGCCGCGTGATGAGGAGATAAGGTTGAAGGAGATGCGGTCATGCGGATGGTGGGACTGTGTATGGCTACGACGGTGTGGGGGACCATATAATGTTGGAAAAGAAAATAGAAAAAGAAAAAAAAAGAAAAGAAAAGAGAGGTATTATGAATATTTCGTCATTTTAGACCAGCAGACGAAGCTATTTTATAAAACGATCTTAAAAACTAATTCTGCTCCGTAACTAAGGCTGCTCAACGAAGCCATAATTGAAGCAGTTTTCGTCGAAGGCAGAGCTCTACCAAACGAGCACTTAGCCTTAGCTGCACAGCTGATATGGGTGGGTCAGGATGACAGAGACAGCAGGTTTCATAGGAAGATGTGCGAGCCGAGCGACGAGCTTCTCGCTAGCGTTGAGTTTTTTTTAATATTTCTGCTGTTCACGTATGCAAATAGCTAGCTCGCATGCGCTTGTTGGGGACGCCCTTATCTTTCTAAAAGTTTTGCAATATATACGCCCAGCAGGCTAGTAGTCTATTTGACAAATCAGATTGAATTCAGACATTGGCCTCGTTCGCTGGTCTGAAATTTGACTGAAAAATACTGTTCCGGCTGGTTTGTTGTGAGAGAAAAACACTATAGCGGCTGAAACTGACTGAATCTCCAGAGGAGAACCAGCCGGCTGGTTCGCTGGAACCAGACCAGCGAACATGGCGATTGTATTGAATGGCATTCCTTTTCTTCCACGTGGTTGGGATCTCTTCTCAATGACATATCTCAGGAGAGGTCTTCCCCATGGGTTGAGTTTTTCTTTAAAAAAAACAGAAAAACTCTAGTTTCTAAATATTTTAGTAAAGAGCATCTCTAAGTTTTTTTTTAAAAGGTACTCGCCAAATCATTTATTATTCCAACTGGCCAAAATGAGTAAAGACCACTTTTGTGTTTATCTAACTATTACTGATAAAATAACCTTTCTAAGAGTGTGTTTGGATCAAGGGCTAATTACCAAGTAGCTAAGAATTAGCCTAAAATTGGTTCAAGTGCATTCAAATAGGAGGAATAATAGATGGACTAATTTTTAGAGAAATCTACAACTAATTGCCTCCCTAGTCCCTACTTCTGCGGGGATCGGATTGCATTTTTACCCAATTTGAGAAGCTGCATCTGTTGATGAATGGTTATACAATGACGGTCCTTATGAGCTAATTGTTCTACACTTCTTACTTGGTGTAGCTTGTTATATGGGTCGTGAGTGGGAGCTTAGTTTCCATCTGGGTATGCGCCCTTGGATTGCTGTTACGTGGACAAGCCCGCAACCCCTCTCCAGCCAGTTGGGTATGGCCAGCTAGCGGCAAACAAAAACCACGAAACACCACGGAGACAGTGAAAAATTATGAAAAAAACATCTGACATGAAGAACCGAACGATTCGAATATACGAGGACTCATACGAGGGATTTACCAAGCGTAGATATTTCTGAATTTCAGATGACAAACTGTTAGAGGCCTGATTTTCCATGTTTTACTAACAAAAACGTGTTTAGGAGTTGAATTAAGTGGGTGTTTGGTGATGCTCTCAGAGTCAGATCAACAATGCTAGTAGAAAACTGCAACATCCAAACGGGTCTTAAATTACTGTTTTTGACTAAAAATCAAGCATTGTTTTGGGAACAAGAAGAAATATTAATAAACGTATTTTTTAAAATTATATATAGGAACTAGATGAGGGTCCTGTTCGCTTATACTGAAATTTAATTTATGCTGATGTTTATGCTAAAATGTTGTAAGAGAAAAATACTATTAAAAAGTAGGTCTAGCGAACAGGGCAGATGACATGAGCGGGTCTTACCACTATTATAGATGTCATCTTACACTACGTCACTGACACATGAGTTACTGACATAGTATTTTTTATACCACTCCCATCCACATGATGCTAAGGGCCTCTTTGGCACGGTTTATGCTGGCTTCGACTTCATCTATTTTACGTAAATCGAGGCACTGTAGCGTGAAACTGTTTTGTAAGCCGGAGTTAAAATAAACTGAAGCCGAAAAAAATCAGTTTCTCTGGTTTGACCTGGCTTTGGCTTTTCGTGAAATCGTTTTGGATGTGTCAGGCTTAAATATGTAAAAATTCCGTCAACGGTAGAACCGCTTTACGCAGAGACCAGTACCAGACCAGAGACCACCAGTCCACCAGCATCAACTACGACTCGGCTTCGCGGCAGTACAGATCCGGCCGACACTTCGTCGTCAACCTCTCGCCATTTCCACTTCCTTCTCCGCCGACCTTTGCTCGAGGCAAACGACAACTTCTCGCTCGCGCCTCTCTCGGATCTGCTCTCGCCATGGTACCGCCCTCTTTTCCGGCCTCTGAATCCAGTCCCCCCTCCTCTGCTCCCTCCTGCGTCCTGCATTTGCTTCCGTTCTTGGATGCAGGGACGGACCCCAAATAGGGGGCCTGAACCGCTGAATGTTAGAGTTCCCACGCTTGCTGATGCAGTGCTGCAACTGCAAGTGCAAGCCTACAACCTGACGCAGCAGTGCGCTAGCGCCAGGTGCCGCGCTGCCGGCCGCAGCACCGCGCCGATGGGCCAGGTGCGGCCGGGCGAGTCAGCAGGCCAGGAAACCGCCCGGGAGGCCCAGGTCTCCTCACGGGAACGGGAGAGCACGAGTCCGGCAGACGGCACGCCGCCTGCTCGCCCTGCCGCTCACGCCACGCGCGGCGCGGCCGCAGCTCGCCGGCGTGCCGTGCCCCGCTGGCCCGCTGACCAATGTGGAACAATTAATTGGTCGCTGCTATCGATTGCCCTGCGTGCGGCTTGATTTCCTCTAGACCGTGGTAGTTTCATTTCCTCTTAAGTTTTAGGCCGAGGATAAACAAAGATTTCCTGTTCCCTGCAAACAAGTACTGTACTCCTTACCATTTTTCGAAGGAATACTGTACTCCTTACCATTGAAACTTCAAACGGACAGATAGCTTCCATTTACCGTATTTGTGAGCATGTAAGCTGTAAATAAAGCCCAACCTAACCCACGACTCTGCTTATTGCTTCACGCTGCATTTGCCTCCCAACATGATGGTTATGACTTATGACTTTAATTACAGGATAGGGAAGCCAAGAAAGAAGCGTTCAGGAAGTATCTTGAATCCAGCGGCGTGCTTGATACCCTCACAAAAGGTTTGTGTTCCATCCACTGTGTGCCGCTGTAAATCACTAGAGCTATGTAACTCGCTAGTTATATCTTCATCTCGCTGTGCAGTTCTTGTTGCGTTGTATGAGGAGAACGATAAGCCTTCATCTGCGGTCGAGTAAGTTGACTCATGTATATCTACTAGTGACTGAGATTTCCTTTTGCTTTTTTCGTTCACGAAATGGCAATCTTGGTTCAGTGATCCTAAGCATTTTTCCTGTACCTTCTAACATGCTTGTATACCCTTAGATTTGTTCAGCAGAAGCTGGGTGGGCCATCAATTTCTGACTATGAAAAGCTCAAGGCAGAGAAGTTGGATTTGCAATTGAAGTATGATAAGCTTTTAGAAACCCACAAGGAAACATGCAGACAGGTATACAATGTTACTGTGTTGGCAATGTACACTACTCTGTCTGTTTACATGGCATACTTAATGTTCAGTAGCATTTGGTGTTACAACTTTCACCAAACTTTTGTATGGGGATATAGATCTCCACGGAAATGTCATGTATGATTAATAAGAAGTGTTAATTGTTAGTCTTAAAGCTTACTGCTTATTTGAAGTAATTCTACTTATTTGATGTTAAAACTCTTGCACTCCAATAATGTACTCATTGCAATAATTTTGTCTTTAACTTAAGTGCTGGTAATGTTCTGAATTCCACTAGCCGGCATAATGTTCAGCTGTACCCAACTGGATGTGTTTGGATGTAGAAATACCAATATACATTAAAAAAACTCTCATTTTCATCACACTATAAGTAGCCGAACAACACTGTTCTGGCTGAATTGTTGTGAGAGAAAAATACTGTTCCGGCTGAAAAAAGAAGCCGAACAAGCCGAATATGGGGTAAGCCGAACGGGGCCATATGATCTGGCAAAAATATTCTGTCCTGTAAGGTACATGTTTCTCTCCTCAAGTCGTCATTCTTGTGTCTTGGTTTTATGCATAAAAAAGTTTAGTTAGACTGAAAGGTAGGTAGAATGTGTGGCATGGAGTTGATATAATAAGCTAGATGGTATTTCTGAACCAGTTTATCCTGTGGATTTCTAGGTTCTAGTTAACTTGCTTGTGTTGTTCCCCCATATGACAGTTAGCATTTTAGACTCGCAAAGTCCTATGCTTTTAGGGAAACAAAGAGCTTGTATGTTCTGAGCACAAGATGGCATTCATCTGGAGTTCTGGGCTGCATTTCAGTTATGATTTCACAATTTTGTTGTGAATCCCAAGCAAATTTTGCATATGATTTCAACATAAATGAAACTGGCATTGATCAGTTGTCTCTCATTTTGCAGCTGGAAGAACTTAAGAATATGAAGTACGGTGCACCTTGGAACTGAAACAACGTGTGTTCACATTGTAAATGTGTCATGAAGCATGTACTTTTACACCTCTGTCTGAATTATTGCTAAGCTCTTACTGAATTCATGTATCCGATTTTAGCCGCATGGATCCCTTTTGGATATGAAGGCACCCAACTCACTCCTGGTCCCGGATATTTGATATCAACAATGCAGGATGAAGGATGTGACAACTATCATAGTTGAACCATGAGCGATTGTTTAGCCAGTAAAGAGTGTGGTCTATTGATTTAGACTTGGCATGCCTTGTAAATCAGATTTGAGGCGATTTCAGTGGAAGAGATATGGCGCGCAACGATACGTGTCAAGATTGCTGGGAAATTTCGAATAAAAACATGCTCAAAGAAATATTATTTTGTGAGTAATGCTAAAGGGAGATAATTTTTTTTAGGGGAACTAAAGGGAGATAGTAATTGGATTAACTGATCGGTGGGTAATTATTTGAAATCTTCCTCGGTACGGAGCTCGGTAAATGTTATTTTGCAGTTCGGCCCCTCAGTCGTTGTACTCCTAGGCCTCCCGCCCGCAATGCCGTCCCCTTCCGCCTCCGCCATCGCCACCCGCTTCGCGGCCCACTGGATAGCTGACGCCCTCGCCGGCGACAAGTCCCTCGAGTTCTCCGTGCTCAAGGGTGAGGCTCCAAACCCTAACCTCCTCCGCCGTTCGCCTGGGCGCTTTCGGTCTCTCACCTGGTCTGCTTTATTGGCTCGTTGGCGGTCCGCAGCGCTGGTGGGCTCCTCGTCGGAGGCCTTCGCGGGCGCCCCGGAGGCCACGCGCGAGCGGGTCGCGCTCCGGTGCCTGCAGGAGGTGTCTTCAGTGATAGCCGCTGGGGGTGAGGCTGCGGCGACGGCGAGGGTGCTTAGGGTTGATGGCGGCGCCCGGTCGTGCGAGGATGTGCTGTTTCGGCTTATCAGAGAGGTGCGTGGTTCATATGCTGGGGTGCGCACTCCCGCGATTCACATTCACCTTCCAATTTTTGTCAGATAGCGCAGAAGTTTTGTTGAGTGCTTGCATTTGTTTCTGTTCATGTTTGGAAGCATTTCATCCAGGGAATACTGGCAGTGGGTAGTTATTTGTAGCCTCCCTGTTCCTAATTTGGCGTTGCTGCTTTGTTACTTTTGATTGGCCGTTGGTAGAACTGTAGTGGTGGATCCGTTGGGATGGAGCATGGAATATGTCCTGGAAGTAGATTGTTGGCATTGGAGTATTGGGATTGGTATAAATCTGGACAGAAATACAGGATGTCTCGTTGCAAATGTATCTTGCTACAATGTCATTGTCACAACTTGTTGAAAGGAAAAAACAATGTAAACATATTTGGGGTTCAATTTTTAGGAATCCCTTCCCATGGTAGCAACATGGATTTGTATTCTGGTGACATGCTCCGAGATATTCCCCAACATTGGCAAAATCCCATAGCTACTTCCTCTTGTTATGCCAATTATGTGTTGCCTTGTCACCAATTATCCTAGAACTGTTATGGCTGTCGTGACATTTCTGTGACTGCTCTGCTCCGTATATGATTGTGAAGTTCTAAGAGATTACTGCATCTCCTTAAGATGGGTGTTTTCCCTAATCTTTTCATTTTTGCAGAAATTCAGTGTTGCCATCAAGCATGGACATTTAGTGTAGAAATTTTCCAATTATGTGCAGAGCCACCTATTTGTGCTTCTTTTTCATTAAGTGTGACTTTGAATTTTTCACATTTTGAAAAAGTCATATGATTTTAGTTGTTTTTTTAAGAAGACATGTAGCATTTGATTATTATGAAGCACTTCTCAGTTTCTAGTGTATTTGAGATTTTTGATACATAGTAAAATTTGCAGGTTGGAAGTTCTGGAAAATTGAAGAAGGATTTGCTTCCACCTTTCAGTCAAGACATCCAGGAAACTATATGTACCAAGAAACTTACATTACCAGAAACTTCTTTTCAGCTAAAAGGAGTTTAACTGAAAACAAGTTTCTGGTAATGTAAGTTTCTGGTAGAATAATGGAAAATTGAACTTCTAATTTTCTCTTCAGCTAAAAGGAGTTGGCCCATGGATCACATCTATGACCCCACCACAATGGCACTGAACAATGTGACAATGATCAGTCCCTGCACAGCAGCCACGAATGTGTAAATATAGAGAAGCCTGTGTTCCCTACAGACAATGCTGAGGTTCAGCAAGCAAATAAGCTCTTGTTTAGTTTCCACCCCAAAACTTTACATCATGTCACATCGAATGTTTGACACGTGCATGGAGTATTAAATATAGACTAAAAAAATAACTAATTGCACAGTTTGCGACTAATTTGCGAGAAGAATCTTTTAAGCCTAATTAGTTCATAATTTGACAATAAATTGCTACAGTAACATATGTGCTAATGACGTATTAATTAGGCTTAATAAATTCGTCTCGTGGTTTACTGATGGATTCTGTAATTTGTTTTTTTATTAGTATCCAAACATCTCATGCGACATCCCATGTAACATTCGATGTGACACATCAAAACTTTACATGCTAGATCTAAACAAGGCTATGGAAGTGAAACAGGAAATCCCCAAAAGGATCCATCTGCACCAACTCCCATTTAATACTATTTCAAGAACTGAGCACATGTGTATTGCAGTTCCAATCCTGTTGCACCAACTGGAAGACGCAGAAAACTCTGTTGGACGGAAGAAGAAGCAGCTTTTTTTGAGGGTAATCGTTCTTTGGATGTAAATTTTATTGTTGAAACACCATCTTCTGGCTGTTCTCTGGCCTGGTTTGTAGTATGTAATTATGTGTTGCTTAGCCGTGTGTATTTATACTTTTCACTGTGATGATCCAGGAGGCGATGGCAAAATTCACTCCACAAAATGATGCGCCATTTCTATGGATTCAGATACTAGAATATGGCAGTGATGTGTTTCACATGACACGCCGGCCATCTGATTTGAGGGTCAAGTGGAGGAACACGAAGAAGTGGACGAGCTATTGATGCTGGCAATCTTACATATCATGTAGCCATTGTGTCATATTAGACTACTAACCATATCTTGGTCTCTTTGAGTCCATCTGCAAATCTGATGCCGTCCACGTACATAGTGAATGCTAATTCACTGGAAGTAGGAACGGAGGGTTTCTTCTAAGTTCTTACTAGGATGTGTATGCTTGGTAAGAGCGATATATGTAGCATGAATAATCTGTTTGTCTGAAATCAGCCGATTATTATTAAAGTAAAAAGGATAGAAATTCTTCATCCTTGGCTGAAGAGCTCATTGTGTACCCTGGGAATAGGAAATATTATGTACACACTGCTTCTCTGCCTTCTGCATAGAATCCTATTTTCTTTGTTTTTCCTGTTATACTTGATATATGTGCATTATTCACTCGTGATTGAGCCCTTGTATTTTTCTTTAAAGAAATTAGAAAAGTTTTGCTATGCCTATGGTAATATCTGCACTGTTGAATCTAAGAGAAAATTAGCATGAATTTGCTAATTGCGAAGTGTTGGAAGCCTCAGCTGGATGGCAAAAAATGGTTGAGCCCAAATTTGGATGCGTCCCAAACCTTTACTGCATAATATGTCAGCTTACCATCCCAGCAAAATCATTTTTAAGACTGCAGAGGTCCGTTTAGACGGTTTAAAATAGCTTTAGGTTAGGATGATACTTAAGTTTTGTAAGTTTATCCATGACACTGAAGGTTACAAAAAATATCCCCATTAATATTAATTGGACTTAGATGACACTAAAAATACTTTAACCGGTTTCTGCGTTTGCCAAACTAATCCTAAATCGGTTACCATAGCTAAGAACATCTCCAAAAGTATTCTATTTTTTCTTCTAAAAACATATAGTTTTGCAATTTCTAAAAAGGTATTGGTACGAAAAAAGAAGACCATCTCCAAGAGTTTCCAATAATCAATTCCTAAAACATAGAAGACAATTTTACATCAGGAATCCTATACTATTCCTAAATTATTATAACAACTTTTATATATTCTTTCTCTCTCATACATTTGCATCATGAACCATTTTCCTACTTCTTATTCTTTCACGTACCCTTCCACCTTTTCCTACTTAGTCTAGAATTGTAAGTGAACTGTAGATTTTTCTTTCTTCTGTCATGTGGATGTGAAGAAATGAAAAATTATATATATCCCATATCATATTTCTCTACTTATTCTATCTTGCAGTTATATAATAACTTGGCCAATTGTTCTGACGACGTTGAAGAAGGAACAAAAATTATTTTCCATATTTTGCCAAATGCCAACGTCCCTTTGTTTAGTAGATTTAAATTTTAAAGAACTGGAAGCATTATCCTTGAAATCTTCGTAATTCCTGGAACCGGGCGTCCGTCCACCCCGGACGTTTCTGTTGGTGGGCTGCAACAGCCCATAACCCCCTCCTATCCACTGGTCACTGTAGTTTGTAAAAAAAATCGAGCAGAGCTCGGCCACGCACTACTCCCCCCGCGCAGCTCGCGGCGGCTGGCCGGGGTGGCCTCCGCCCGCGCTCATCTCGTGCTTGCCGCGGCCGCCCACGCTCATCTTGGTCGGGGCGGAGGTTGCCCAGCTCGCCGTAGCCGGGGCGGAGCTCGCCCGCATGCAGCTCATCGCAGCCTGGGCAGAGCCCGCCCGCACACTTCTCGCGCTCCGCCTGCCCAGCTCGTCGTGGCTGGGGCAGAACTCGCCCGCGCATAGCTCACTCTGGCCAACCTGTCGCGGCCTTCTCCACGGAGCGGCAAGCTCCGCGCCACCGGCGAGCTCTACACCGGTGAACTCTATACACGACAAGACTCTATTTTCCCAAGCAACACGGAGATGCTGCACTAAAACTGTATATTGCAAACATATGTTTCAAGTGTTTCAAATGTATGTTGCAAGTGTTTCACGCGGATGTTACAAAAATAGATCGGGTTTGCATATGTTGCAATGGTTGTACACGTATGTTGCAAGCTTTTGTTCACAATGATTCATATGTTTTTCCAGACATATGTTGCAAGTGTGTTTATTTAGATGTTGCATATGTTTCACATATATGTTGCAAGTGTTTTATTTGGATGCAATGAAAAACAAGGCGCGCTTCAGCGCTGGGCGGAGGGGTAACGCCTCGCCTAGGGGGATAAGCGGAGAATAGGCGCCGTGCCACCAGATCCAGAGCCGCGCCGCCCGAGGGAGGGAGCTGCGCCGCCGGATCCATTGCGGGGCCGCTTCCTCCGGGCCTCCCTCCTCCCAATCCCATCAGATGCGCATCCGTTTGAAGGAGAGGGGAAGGGAGTAGAAAGGAAAGGCAGGCCTTGGGTCGTGATGGCGTGGGGGCGCGAGGCGAAGCTGCGGCCTGCCTGCCTGCAGCCGGCCTCCACGAGAGAGAGAGAGAGAGAGAGAGAGAGAGAGAGAGAGAGGTCACGGGAAAGAAGGGAGAAGAAGGTCACGGGAAAGAAGACGGACTGCTCGGGCTGCAGATGAGATGTGGATAAGACCGAGCGATTTTGCGGCTTGCCCCTCCACTTTGTAAAAAATTTTAGCAAATTTTCTTGCTATGATTTCCTTTACTGATTTCTTACATTCTAGTCCCTAGAACTTCTATTTTTTCACAAGATACCACTTCTATTGCTGTAGGAACTTATATTTATTCAGCATTTCAGCAACTACATTTATATATTTATTCAGCTATACATGCTGAATGCAAATTTATCAAAACGCCTAGAAAAACGCCTTGAAACGCCTAGGCCTGCCTAGGCGCGCCTAGGCGCTAGGCGATGGGTCACCGCCTAGAAACCGCCTAGCGCCTACAAAAACATTGTTTGGATGTTACGTATATTTTACAATGGTTTTAAGTGTTTTCAGGTGTTTTTATAAGTGTTTTCAGATGCATGTTTCAGGTGTTTCATCTGCCTTCAGACGTATGTTGCAAGTGGAGCAGCTAGCAACTTGATTGGATTGTAGTGAACATAGGTGAGATGTTCTATCTCTGCTTAGATGTGTTCCTTTTTATGCTTTTGGTCTGAACTAATGTAATGCAATCCTGCTGAGACATTTATGCAATGTATTTTATGCTAGTTATATTAGTACGAATGGAGTTACCCAAGTTGAACAATTTAGAATTTTGATGATAGGTTATATGCTTCAAATGATTCCTTTTTCACTGCCGTAGTAGTGAGTAATTCTTATTTTCCGTTAATTATGTTTCTTTGGTCTTGTGTGTTTATTTATTTTGAGCGAATAAGGTTATCTTGCATATGTTGCAATGGTAACAGTTTGAAATTGGAAGCTTACAGTATCATCAATAGCTAGAACCAAAATTTCTTTTTTATGTTGCTGAACAATAACCTGAACCTTCTAATAGGCAACTTTGTTCACAGAGCTTGCTTGTAGATACTGATTGCTTGGATCTACTTTAGCACATACCCGTGCTATAGAGATGACAATATTTGTTTTTTTCATTTAAAGGACATGAAATGGTTGCCAGGTTCCATATTAATATTAAACTGAGTTTTCAACACTGGCCTCATACATTAACAGTGCTCAACCCTATTGCTCCAGTCCCTCGACACAAAAGTTTGACAAAAGCAGAAGGTGAATCAAAAGACCTCCAGTGTCTTTTTGTTTTGTTTAGCATAGGTCTTAGTGTTCCAGGCCTTCAAGCTTCACAGCCTGCACATAAATAATAAGTCTCATATATACAAAGATATCTTGGATTTAGAAGAGAGGAGCTTCCATCAGGTGCTTCAAGCATTTTTGCAAGGGGCAGGCTCCAGCTGGAGTCTCATGAAAGAACTGTATGGGGCTTGGCAGCTTCCACGTAAAAAGGTAATTCACCCTCCAGAGAAGTACGAAGTCGGTTCAACCTGATGCTATTCCTACATTTCCATAAAACCTAAAGAGCAACCATATTAATAGTTAGCTATAGCCAATTATTTTTTCACATTAATCAATAACTGAGCACATTGGTCAGTTCACCAGGGTCTTTACC